CGATACCTAGTAGAAGGTTAGAGATGGACCAGACCGATACCTAGTAGAAGGTAAGGGTCTTGGTAAGGGTTGGTATTTTTATATTCTCTGTTACTTTTAAATCTTGTGTGATTCCTTGTGCATGTTCTTCTATTGAAACTCTAGCACAACAATTTCCTGCGGGATCAGTAAAGTTCCACCTTCTCTCTCGTCTCACCTGATCTGACTGGCGTTGACAGTAAATGGCTTACTGTGCTCGTCTTTAGTGTTGCTCACTGTGTATTTGAAGAGAGACGGACTCAGAGGTTTCTTCTTCCTGCTGACAAAACACAAAAAAATGACTTGAGAAAACCGTTTTGTACGACATCGACTTTCTGAAGAGCCTTTGCTCTGTGATGAAACTCATGGACAAGCTGAAGCTGAAGCGATGGTGGACAACGTCTGTCTCTTTTCTTCTGAACACAACAAATCGTTAAAACCTCAGACCGTTATTTATTTTGCAGCTGATCCAACCTAATGTTAGTCTGATGTCCACACGCTGAAGCACCTTGGGAGCAGAACCTGCAGAGTGCTGCCAGCACGCTCACTGCAGTAGGTTGGTCACCCAACCCTCCAAAAAATAATAATAAAATAAAATTTTTAACAAATTAGATGCCATTTCCTGCGTTCTGGTGCATTTTAACGGGTTGTTAAACATCTGCGTTTACCTACATTTGTATACATTTGATTCAATAATTATTTATGAGACAGATTTCTCGTTCAACTACTCCATATGTGCATCATTCTGTTTTTAAACGCACTCCTATGGTTAAAATAATGAAATGTGACATAATTTATCACAAACGATGACTTTACTTTCATTTTTTATTTAGTTTTATTTGTAACACAACATGCCACGGTGTTAAGCAATGGTGACACTGAACTGCATGTTTAAAAATAAGAATATTAACTTTAACCAGTGAACATTTTGATATCCACCAGCAGTGAATTTAGGGGGGCGTTTTACCGTTTTCTGATTTAGTGATGAGTCATCATGAAAAAAAGACGCTGCGTCATGCAGCCTTCACAACTGTGCCAGTGACACATTAAAAAAATTGTCACTTTTGTCAACATGCATGTAATTATATTAAAACAAAATAATTACAGGTTTCTTCCTACCTTGGTGCCACAATTTCTACACTTCATAACTTTTATTCCACTTTCCTTCACGATCCAACATCCATCTCCTGATGGATGTTGGACCTGATGGCCGCTTGCTATTCACAGAGGGCTGAGTGATACCATCAATGTTATTGCTAGTATCATAGTATCACTCAGCCCTCTGTGAATAGCAAGCGGCCATCAAGGCACTTACGACCAATTGTTAGGTTGATGGTCCTCCTCCATCATGTGAACAGCTAGTTCTAAATGTCACCAGCAAAATGGTTGATCCCCTAGGAGAAGGTGCCATTTATAAGACAGACTTAGTTGCAGCTCCTCAGGCTGAAGAAGTATTTTGGATAAAAGACAAAACGTTTCAACAAAGAACCCGTCCAGGGGACCTGACTCAACCTTGTTAGATTTTTCTACCTGGATTACTGAGCAAGCATCAGGACATTGCGTTATTTGGGTTCTTTCTCCCCAACATATTTCTCCTTTGAGGTATTCCCCATAACACCATCAGGTGGACTATTCAAATCTTAGGGCAAAGTCTTGGTGTATGTGGCAGCTACAAAGTTCAAGACAAAAACAACTGGACTTTCTTTGTAACGGAAGACGTTTCGCTTCTCATCCGAGAAGCCATTTTCACACCTATAAGATGGGACCAGAGGGGCCTCATCTGTGAACTAGATTAACAAATACCTTAACAAGCACCTACAGTGAGGTGTGATAGGTCAATCTGCATATGTATGTGTGTATCTTATGTCAGCTTTATGACCTGAACACCACACGCTCTGCTCTTTGAATTGAGAAAGCTTCTTGGATGAGAAGCGAAATGTCTTCCGTTACAAATAAAAGTCCAGTTGTTCTTGTCTTGAACTTTTTTGAATTTACCATGTCCTGGATGACTGAGAATCTTCACCAGCGTATGTGGCAGCTACATTGTTCAAACCTTGACGTAGCGCTAAGCTAGCAGGGCGCAATACAGATGCGCTAGCTAAGATGATACAGATGTAGCGCTCCGCTCCTCTCACGCATCCTAACATGCGCCCGTCCGACAACTGCCGTCAATGAGAAATTATGAGCTGAGCCATTTTGATGTACTGACCAGTTGAAGTGTGTGGTGGGACTCTGGAAGGCGTCGCTCTCGTCGTCACTGTCAATGATGATAATCGTATCATCACCAGCCTGAGTGTTTTGGCCATTAGTGGGCGGGGCTCCATTAGCACTGGAGTAAGGTGCGTGCACATGCAGGATCTCACAGACATACCTAAATCACACACACACACACACCCACACACACACACAATCAGTTCATGGCCCTGAATAATGTAACAGAGAAACTAACATGTTCCATTAGAAATGACTTTTAGGACTGAGGATTTCTCAGAAACCTGGTGCCCGTCAGTACCTGGCTCCTTTGCGTCCGCTAACATCCACTACCTCTCCAGGAAAGAAGCGGTCTTTGGCGAATGAGTAAACGTCCTCACAGAGCTCCGACAACCTGCAGCGGCGGCTCAGAGCAGCCAGGTGGAATAGAGGTACCATCAGAACCTGAGGGAAGTTCTGCAGGCTCTGCCTGGCTCGCCGCTCGCTCTCCATTGCCTCCAGGTAGGTGAGGCCTGCTCGACCCGTTAATGCACAGCTCCACACCAAACTGTTGCAAAGGATGGTCCTCTCAAAAAACTCACTGTGTGGGAGAGAGAGGGTGGGTCAGAATCATGAGGTTGGTCTGCGTTCTTTTGGGTGCACATTAACCAACCGTAAGGGAACTTTTAGTCAAAGGTTATGGATGTTTTTATTTCTATGGGTGAGAATATTCTTCCCCCCTGCCTTGAGAACAAGAAGCCCAAAACTAGTTGAAACTAACTCCCAAGACACTATCTCATGAGCCCATGAACCATATGTTTGGGTAAACACAGAGCGCTGAATAAAAAGACTGCAGCTTGCTTCAAGGACACCTCCTGCAATCGGATGAGCTGATCGGAGTATAAAAGCCAGCAGATAACACGGCTCGTGGCTTTTTTTCTGCCTGGTTTTCATGCGTATACATCTATGTATGTGATTTACAAACCGGATTCCAAAAAAGTTGGGACACTAAACAAATTGTAAATAAAAACTGAATGCAATGATGTGGAGGTGCCAACATCTAATATTTTATTCAGAATAGAACACAAATCACAGATCAAAAGTTTAAACTAATAGAATGTATCATTTTAAGGGAAAAATCTGTTGTTTCCAAATTTCATGGCATCAACAAATCCCAAAAAAGTTGGGACAAGTCCATTTTTACCACTGTGTGGCATCCCCCCCTTCTTCTTACAACACTCAACAGACGTCTGGGGACAGAGGAGACCAGTTTCTCAAGTTTAGAAATAGGAATGCTCTCCCATTCATGTCTAATACAGGCCTCTAACTGTTCAATCGTCTTGGGCCTTCTTTGTCGCACCTTCCTCTTTATGATGCGCCAAATGTTCTCTATAGGTGAAAGATCTGGACTGCAGGCTGGCCATTTCAGTACCCGGATCCTTCTCCTACGTAGCCATGATGTTGTGATTGCTGCAGAATGTGGTCTGGCATTATCGTGTTGAAAAATGCAGGGTCTTCCCTGAAAGAGATGACGTCTAGATGGGAGCACATGTTGTTCTAGAACCTGAACATAGTCCTCTGCATTAATGGTGCCTTTCCAGACAAGCTGCCCATGCCACAAGCGCTCATGCAACCCCATACCATCAGTGATGCAGGCTTCTGAACGGAGCGTTGATAACAACTTGGGCTATCCTTGTCCTCTCTGGTCCGGATGACATGGCGTCCCAATGTTCCATAAAGAACTTCAAATCGTGACTCATCTGACCACAGAACAGTCTTCCATTTTGCCACACTCCATTTTAAATGACCCCTGGCCCAGTGCAAACGTCTGAGCTTGTGGAGCTTGCTTACAAATGGCTTCCTCTTTGCACTGTAGAGTTTCAGCTGGCAACGGCGGATGGCACGATGGATTGTGTTCACTGACAATGCTTTCTGGAAGTATTCCTGAGCCCATTCTGTTATTTCCTTGACAGTGGCATTCCTGTTTGAGGTGCAGTGACGTTTAAGGGCCCGGAGATCACGAGCATCCAGTAGAGTTTTACAGCCTTGACCCTTACGCACAGCGATTGTTCCAGATTCTCTGAATCTTTTGATGATGTTATGCACGGTTGATGATGATAACTTAAAAGTCTTTACTATCTTACGCTGGGTAACACCATTCTGGTATTGCTTCACTATCTTTCTGCACAACAATGGTGGAATTGGTGATCCTCTTATTATCTTGGCTTCTGAGAGACACCGACACTCTGAGAAGCTCTTTTTATACCCTCTCTTTTTATATGTTGTCAATTGACCTAATTAGTGTTAATTGGTCTTCCAGCTGTTCGTTATATGCTCAATTTCCTTTTTCCAGCCACTTATTGCTACTTCTCCCAACTTTTTTGGGATTTGTTGACACTGTGAAATTTTGAATCAACATATTTTTCCTTTAAAATGTTACATTTACTCAGATTAAACTTTTGATCTGTCATCCATGTTATATTACGAATAAAATATTGACATTTGCCATCTCCACATCATTGCATTCAGTTTTTATTCACAATTTGTTTAGTGTCCCAACTTTTTTGTAATCCGGTTTGTATGTATATTTATGTAAACTCTCCTGAAATATGACCTTGGAAGTATAAATACAGGTTAGAAGTCTTCTGCCGTTGAGTGTGGTTCTTTTGGAAAAGCAACATTAGTGAGTGAAAGATTTTGTCCAACACCAACATTTAAAACACTCCAGTGGCCCCAAAACAAGGACTGAAGACATGTTCTGTTCCTGAGAAGTTTAGAACCTTGCTGGTCCAAGGTTAAATATGATCAAGGTTGAGTTAGAACCTTGACAGGAACCTTAATGGTCCTTACATTATCAGATGGTGTTTCAAGATTATAACTCCAAATTCTGTTGGGACTGTTTAACTATTTGAACTCTTGACTCCACAGTCTGGACCAAAAGAGTAAAAACAAATACTGAATGTTTGTTTCTGGTAAAAAAACAAAAAATATTACAGGGAATTATTACATATTGTTTAGTAGGGGGGCTGCGGTAGCTCGGTGGTCAGTACCGTAGTCATGTTATCCTGAGGTTGCGGGTTTGAGGTGCAACCTCATTGTTTCGGAGTAGAACAATTGCCAAATCTTTCGTGGGAGTTGTTTCGTTGTGGAAGAGAGCAGCTGAAAGAAACTTACCATTAGGTATTGTTTAGCAGCTCACTTGTACCTCTGCATTAGCTTCTTGTTCAATAATGAACTCAATTCAAACTTCTGGTCGGACAAAGGCTCTGCTCGAAGAGGTCGTTTTAAACTTCCTGTCGTCATTGTGAACCTACGTGTTGTCGTTTTGAGCTTTCATCTTGTTATTTTGAAACTTCATCTTACAGTTTTTGACTTGCATGTCATTTTAAACCATGTTTTTTTAACCCTCATGTCAGTTTGAACCTACACGTTGTTTTGGAACATTTGTGTCCACGTTTTGGACTGTGAAGTTTTAAACATAGAAATCTCGATGTTTTGGATCTTAATGGTGTAGAATTGGACCTTCATATCATTGATTTGGACCTTCATATCGTTATATTAGACTTCCATCTTGTTGTTTTGGACCTTTATCAAAGTTAGGGCTTTTATGTAATTCTGAACTCATGTGTTGAGGTTTTGGACCTTAATGGTGTAGATTTGGGCCTTCGAGTTGTCGTTTTGAACTTTTATGTTGTTTTGAGCCTATATGATGATGTTTTGGACCTTGGGGTAGCTTTGGACCTTCATGTTGTTGTTTTGGACCTTCAAAGTATAGATTGGACCTTCATGTTGTTTTGAACGTGTATGCCGATATTTTAGACCTTCTCGTTTAGACCTTGATCAAATTTTGGACTTTTATGCCGTTTTGAACCTATATTGATGATTTGGACCTATACGTGGATGTTTTCGACCTATATCAATGTTTTGCACCTTAATGGTGTAGACTTGGATCTTCATCTTGGTGTTTTGGACCTTCATAGTGTAGATTAGGACTACAATGGTGTAGATTTAGACCTTTATCTAGTTGTTTTTAACCTATGTGTGGACGTTTTGAACCTGTACGTGGATGTTTTGGACGTATATAATGAGGATTTGGACCTATACGTGGACCTATAACTACGTTTTGTACCTATACGTAGACGTTTTGGACCTATACGTAGACGTTTTGGACCTATACCTAGACGTTTTGGACCTATACCTAGACGTTTTGGACCTATACGTGGATGTTTTGGACCTATACTAGATGTTTTGGACCTATACGTGGATGTTTTGGACCTATACGTGGATGTTTTGGACCTATACGTGGATGTTTTGGACCTATACGTAGATGTTTTGGACCTATACGTAGATGTTTTGGACCTATACGTAAACGTTTTGGACCTATACGTAGACGTTTTGGACCTATACGTAGACGTTTTGGACCTATACGTAGACGTTTTGGACCTATACTAGATGTTTTGGACCTATACGTATATGTTTTGGACCTATACGTGGATGTTTTGGACCTATAGGTGGATGTTTTGGACCTACTGGAGCTTCCTGTGGTTCTGAACCCGCCTGTTGTCCTTTCACCGACCCACCTGAGCCCACGGGCCGGGTGATACTCACTCGTAGGTCCGGAAGACTTCGTGTGTGATCTTGCAGAGGAAGACCTCCTCGTCCGGCTGCAGGTCCGCCGGAGGTCTCTGCCGGATGAAGGCTGTTCGGTGGAGCAGCGGCATCGCTTTGCTGAAAGAAAGAGGAGCCAAAGCGGGTCAGAGTCCGACTAACTGTCACTGAAAGCACACCAAAGTGAAGCCAGACAGTTGGACCGGAACAAGAGCAGCAGAACCGAACCGAACCGAACAGCGGGGAAGAGGAGAGCGGCTCTTTTGTTAAACGCGAAGATAATCTGACCGCGTGGAGAAACGGCTCCTCTCCTTTATCTGAACCGAATACTTGGACCCAATTAGACACCGAACACACAGCCCGAACCCTCCTCCCAACCCCCTAAACATGAAACAGAACTGGACCAAATGAAACTGGCGGGTTTTACCGAAGTGTACCGACGAAGCGCCCGCCGGCGGTCCAAACGAAGAGGAAGAAGTCCGGGCGGAAATTCGGCTCTGGCGGCTTGTTGACGAAGTTTTATCTACTTCACGGACCCCCCAGCTGGCTCGGAATTTTCCCTTTTCACGCCTCCGCTTGTTCTACAGTACAGGAACAAAAATGTTGTCGACTAGCCGATTGAATAGCAACATTTGTTATTTTAATTTAATAAATATATTAATGTTATTTATTCACTTTAACATTGTTTCATCACTTCTCTCCCGAGTTTACAGGTTGAAATAAATGAAAATATCAAATTTCCGATCAACGAGCGGGCCATAAATGCAGCAGTTCATTCATTGAAGCCGACTCCTCGGTTTGGACCCATGAGTCTGAACTTACGGTTCCGTTTCATCACAGGTTTATCTCCGAGTTGAGCCATTTCAGTAGAAGAAGGTCATCTGGATCTTACAGGCTGAGATGAAGACAAAAATAAATCAAACTAAAAGGATCCTGTAAGGATCAGATCCCTGCTCAGGTTTTGTAGAGACATGTAGTACATCAGATTTGTTGGTCCATTATTAATCAAAACTATTTTTAATAACTTAATGGCATTTATCTGTATGCATGTTGAGGATCATGAGTTTAATAACTCAATTTAAATAATGTTACATTCTTAAACACAGTGATTTTATTTATTTATTGTTGCACACAGGTCTTCTAGCCTGAGGCTCATTTGCAGACCTAGTCTCGTTTATTTCAAAAGACCCAATTAAATCTCCTAAAGTAGGCATACAAATACAAAAACAACAAATTTAAACTCAATACAAATAGACGTTGCACACCTCAATGCAGACAAATTAAATTATTATGAAAAAGGCACAAGAAAAACAAAAACGCATGAAAAGGAAAAGAACAATGTCCAGCTTCAGCTGTAGACGCTGGAGTACCTCAGTGTTCACAGGTTCATTCGTGTTTCAGTCCCCAGGCCCAGCTCATACACCAGAACAGACGTTTCCCATGAGCGACTGGTTAGATGAATGGATGCAAACCTCTGACCGAACCCAAAGATGAAGGTGACCAGACTTCCCTGGTTCCAGTCCAGGTTTAGCCACGTACAAACCAACAGAACACTGTAACCTTAGATCAGTTTGTTGCAGCTCCTCAGACTGAAGAAGTCCTTTGGATAAAAAAATGAAAAGTTTCAACAGGAAGAATCCATCCAGAGGACCTGACTCAACCAAGACACCTTAGATCAGGACTATTCAACTTGACTGCTCAGGGGGGCACAGTTCCTGAAAGCCAAGAGCTCAGGGGCCGGACCTCCAGCAGTTATTGTCATCGAGTTTGTTTTATGGTTTAAAAATTAGTTTTATGTAAAAATGAACCCATTAGTGGGCCAAACTGAGTTCATTCCTGGGCCTGATTTGGCCCCTGGGCCACCAGTTGATTATCCCTGGAGTAGCTCATTTATTTCCACTGCCGCCTCCCGTCGAGTCGTTTAGTTCAGACGTCGCAGGTGTTTGTTCAGACGTTCATATTTAACACGTTCAGGTGTCATTCGATGCTCAGGAGGGGGGCATGGAACGTAAAGCTCCGCCTCCCCGGTGTCACATGATTCTGTAGAGGTGGATCTGTCTGAGAGCCTCAGGGTCCGTATCTCGGCCCAGGTAGACGTCATAGTCCACAGGAAGTTCTTCCACCCAGCCGGGCTCCAGCGGCACCTGATGGACATGAGCAGGAACTGTTAGTATTTTGGATTCCCAGCAGAACGTCCTGCTGCAGCTGGTTCCTGGAGGTTTTACCTGCAGGGCGCTCAGACTCTCCTGCAGGCTGGGAACCGTGACGAGCAGCGAGCCTCTCCTCCTGAAGGTCTGCATGATGAAGCTCCACGCCCTGAACACAGGCAGCCATGTCTGTCAGGGTTCTGCAGCTCAGTTTGGACTCTAGATGGTTCTCCAGGTGTTTACCTGACTTGTTGGCTGGACTCCATGAAGTACTCGAAGACGTTGTTCATGATCAGAACATCGGTGCTGCTCAGCAGAACTTCTTGTGTGCAGACGTCAGCATGCAGAACCTGCACAGGTTCAATGGATGAAAGTGTGTGTGTGCGTGTGTGTGCGTGTGTGTGCATGTGTGTGCATGTGTGTGCATGTGTGTTAGCTGAGGAGTGTTCAGAGACAAACCTGAACTCTGTCAGAAAACTTGTATTTGTGCACGATGTCGTTCTGGAGCCGGATGAAGTCCTCGTTGAGTTCAAGTCCAAACAGCCGAGACGCTGAGCTGTACAAATAACCCTGAACGCAACACGTTCACACACACACACACACACACACGTACACACACACCAGATTTGTCATTATTCTCCGCTGCACTTCCTCCAACAGTTTGATTCTGCGCCGTCTTCAGATCAGTTTGTTGAAAGATGTTTACTAAAATCAAACAGACGTGCACACTAAACAAAAATTTTTTAATGTTTTGACTTTAAGCTCTTGTCACCTTGAAGGAGTCCCACTTACTACCAGCAATACAAACTAAACGTGTGTGTGTGTGTGAGTGTGTGTGTGTGTGTGTTGGCCTCTGACCGCATAAAGCACAGCTCCTAGTCTGGAACCAACGTCCACCACGGTCCGCCCGCTCAAATCTGGAAGAAGGTTCTGGAAGAGGAACTGCAGCTCTGTCGCCGAGAAGGAATGAGAGATGAACTCTGCAGGAGACGACAGCAGGATCAGCGGGACTGCAGGGGGAGGGGGTCACGGAGGAGCTGAACCCCACACACGTATATATTGTCATGTCCGGAGGGTGGATCCGTTCAAAGATCTCCTCAGAGTCCTGACTCGAAGTCTAAAGATGAATCTGTAACTGAGCTTTGGACCCGATAGGAGTCGGTGCCGTTGGACACAAAGTATTTCCTGTTTTTGTTTTTTTAAAATCACTTTCTTTCGTTTAGTTTCCCAGTTTATGTTTTGTTTTATGATGGTCCACTGCCGTCATCACTCGGGTCTCTCTCGTGAACGAGTCCTCGGGGCTCAGTGAGACTAACGTGTATAAATAAAGCAGGTGACTCTTCCGTCACGTTTCAGGAAACACCCGCACCTTTAACTTCATCTTCATCAGATGCTCAACCTGAAGCCACAATACTTTTTCTCGTATGTGATCAGATTTTTTTATGACAGTCTGAACATCACAAATCTGATCGAGTCGAATCGGACCCCGGTCACTTTCACCTGTGGTCCAACGTGCGCAGCCTCCATATGTGTAAGCGCAGCGTGCTGCAGAACCAGACTGTCCGCCCTGGACTGTGACGGGGGTCACAGATAAATGATGCACGGAGCATTAAGAGCTGCAGGGTGAACGAGGCGCTCGTCTTATAAATCCCAATTACCGTAATTTACGGACTATAACCCGCTACTTTTTCAATTCAATTCAATTTATATAGCGCCAGTTCACAACTAAGTTGTCTCAGGCACTGAACAGAAACATTCACACACACACGTGCGCATGAACTCGTGCACACCACTGCTCCAGCTCAAGATACGCCGTAAAGAAAGTTCTTCTTCGCTGGCGTTTTACGGTGGATTGCATCACCGCCCCCTCGAGACTGCAAAAACTGAATTTTGGAACCGAAATTCAAACTGAATTTTCAATACAACGAAATCCAGTTTCAAACCATTAAATTCAGTTTCAATTTAGTGAAATTAATTTTCAAACCATCCATTATCTTTTACCCGCTTCTTCCTTTTTGGGTCGCGGGGGTCACTGGTGCCCATGTCCAGCTGTCACTGTGTGAGAGACGGGGTACCAATGTATTTCATTTCAAATTACGCAACTCCAGATTCAGTCTGAACAATTCAGTTTCAGTTTCTGATGGCACAATTTTCTGCCCATTTGTACAAATTGTACAAAATTATAATTTTTTTATTAGTGGGCGTGGCTTATGTTCGGGTATACCCAGCCAGTTTCACGCCTGTCAGGAATTTCAGCGATGTCACCAGAGTGGTCCCTCTGTGGATGAGACTAACAAAGACCCTAACGATCCTCTACTGTGAAGAGCGAGAGGTCAATCTGCATGTGTCAGTCTACATTATGCAAGCTTACAGAACATCTCAGCTTTGTAACTTGAATCCCACACTCCTCCTTTCTTTGAACTGAGAAGCTCCTCGGATGAGAAGCGAAACGTCTTCAGTTCCAAATAAAGTCCAGTTGCTTTGTTTTTAACTTTTTATATATTCAGGTCATAGTCTGGGAATTATGGTATTTATGATCTTTGAGTTCTTTATGACTTCTCTTGTTAAAAGTGGAGCTGGACTGTTTGGGTCTGGCTCAACAAACACGTGTCGGTGTCAGAACTCGGATCAGATCTTTGAACTGGCCCAAGTTTTCAGCTGCTTCAGTGTGTCTGCTGGTACCCAACGGAGCGGTTCTGAAGGATCCGCAGCTCAGGCAGTAGTTCCTGCTCATGGCCCCCTCCTCACACAGAGCGTCCACCTGCTCGTCACTGTACAGGAAGCTGTCCACGTGCACTGTTGGCCGTGCACACTGCTGCATCTGAGAAATACAACGCAACATTTCTGGTCATCAGGAAACTGAACCTTCAAACGTTGCAACGTTCAGAACTCAAAGGACTACAGAAGTCCAAAAACCTTCAGCTGAACTTTGTTGGACGAAAAGTTTTTTTTAAAAGTCTTCAGAGCGAGAAGATCAACCTGGATCTACAGCTGAGAAACAGAACCAGAACAGTCCACACCTCTTTAACCCCTCCACCCCCATCCAACCCCCCCCGAACCTTCTGGTGGGCAGCAGCTTCTGACGGGAACATGGCCTCCAGAGGCAGTCTGGGTCTCAGGTCGTCTGCAATGTTCTGCAGGATGAGCTTGTTGTTGTCCAGCAGCAGGTGGTCCAGCTCATCTGAAGGAGACGCAGACAGGAAGCTGCTCAAACGTGCACTATCATCTGATCACACTCATCACGTGCGTGCTCACATGTTCATCACCTGAGAGCACCGAGAAATGTTGCACGCAGGTGTGTAGCTGTTCTGCATGTCACGATCATGACAGGCTCGACTCGAGCATCACGGCATCACGACCAAACCACCGTGTTTAAAACCGCTCAACTGTCGAGTTTGTTTTTAATGACCGTTTAAAATAATAATCTATTAAAATGACCTTGATGAACCAACACCGGGTCGGCTGACTGCAGCTGTCTGCAGCTGGATGGAAGCTGACTGCAGCTGTCTGGAAGCTGACTGCAGCTGTCTGCAGCTGGATGGAAGCTGACTGCAGCTGTCTGGAAGCTGACTGCAGCTGTCTGCAGCTGACTGCAGCTGTCTGCAGCTGGATGGAAGCTGACTGCAGCTGTCTGGAAGCTGTCTGCAGCTGACTGCAGCTGTCTGCAGCTGGATGGAAGCTGACTGCAGCTGTCTGCAGCTGGATGGAAGCTGTCACTCCTTTTATCTGGTTTATTTTTGTTTTCCTGCCTTCAGCTTTTAAATCTCAAAGAGCTGCTCGTTTCTTCAAACTAAAGTAAGAGAAACTTTATTTTTAGTTCAATAATGTTGAGATTTTAAACGTTATCATCTAAAAATACAATAACTGTAAAACGCATCGAGTCTCATCAGTTTTTCTGCCTCGTTTGATGATGCTGCGTTCACTTGCAGTGGGACATCTGAAGGAAACAAGTCATGGCCTCCATGAACTGGACCTCCCTGCTGCAGGTGACTTTACCTGAGTTCTTCATCCAGTCCAGCAGCTTCCCCACCTCAGGCGGACTCACTTTGTTCAGCAGCTGCTGAAGTTCCAACTTGGCTTCATCAAAGTTCATGATGATCTGAAACCAGGTGTGACAGGTGATGTGTAAAACAACAACTGTTTGTTTACTGACACACAACATGACACCAATACAAACTTGTATCCTGCTTGTGACCCACAAGCTCAACAATTACACAACTCAACAAAATCACACAACAGTAAATTCAAAGTAGAAATTAATTTCAGGTGAACTCGGTTGTTTTTTCTTTATTATCACTTCCTCTTCGTGCGCGCTCCCGACACCGACAGGAAACACTAGTTATATTAATAAAAAGGTTTTACATAAATTTACTTTATATAGAAATCATATCAGGAATAAATACCGGTAAGTGTAGAAAACTAACGTGGAGATTGTGCTCTCTTCTTCCGGTTTCTTCTTCTTCTTCTTTTATTTCGGCGGACGTCAACATCCGGGTAACTGTTTGGCGCCACCTTGTGGACAAAAATAAATTTAGTTGAGTTCAGTCAAAGACTCCTCGCGCTTCCACCAAACCATCGGGCCAGAACACTCTCCATGTTCCTCAGAATAGAATAGAATAGAATAGAATAGAATAGAATAGAATAGAATAGAATAGAATAGAATAGAATAGAATAGAATCCGGTCCGCCAGAAAAAAGTAAAACTAAGTTATTTATTGAACACTGACTAATCTTTTACATTAATATATTTGTTTCAATAAATAATATACGAGATATTACTGTAATGTTGTCTGTGCCTTTTAAAGTTTGAGGAATAGCTTTATGATGCATTCAGGAACCAACAGTTTATGTAACATTGTTTTGTTTTTTTTGTTGTATATTTTTTTTAAATATATATAACTCAACCTGTGAAAGCTAATTGATGCTTTGTATTACAGTTTTTGCCTTCGTTTGTTTGTATATTGTTGTTCATAGTAAAAATATTTTAAAAAATATAGTCTGAGGAATAGCTCAATGATGCATTCAGGAACCAACAGTTTGAGGAATAGCTCTATGATGCATTCAGGAACGTATTTGAAGGAACTTTTAGTTAGAAAAGCCTGTTTCTGACAAAATTTTAATGATTTGTATTTTTAGTTTGTTTCAAGTTTTTGTTTGATTTTCTGTCATAATCAAGAGTTTGCTGTAAATCTGACCTTGTTAATGTATTTTTTAATATTTTGTTATAAAACAAAATTTGGGTTTAAGCGAGAATAAAAAAAAAAAGTGCATTTTAATTAATTTCACACAATAAAACAAATCATGCAGTTTATTTTATCATTTTATTTGTATTTTTTTTTGCACACCAGACACATGAACAGCTCCTGTTTACAGATTTAATAACGATGAATTGTTTTAACTCCAGATTAACACAACACATCAGCACATGTTGGAGCTTGATTTGATTGACAGCTAGAATAACAAGGTGATTGACAGCTGGGTTAGTGACGTTCTCCTCACAGTGAACCTTAAACTACGTTTTGCTTCACGTCATCTCCCTGTCGGTCTGAGTGAGGCTGCACGAGGACCTGGAATCAGAACGAACAGGAAGTGGACTCGTCTTCTATCCTGACGATGGTAACTTGATGAGAGCGGCCTGTCCGGGACCGAGTTGCAGGTTGTTCAGGTCCACGCTGCCGTCTTCAGGTAGGGCGCTGCTGTTGGTGCTGAGGACCACCGCCCCGTGTCGAGGCACCACCGAACCGCTCAGCTGAAACACCACCTCTTCCTCAGCCCAGTTAAAGGCAGCCAGGTACCGGTCACTCTGGTCCCAGACCCGCAGGTACACCAGGGAGGAGGACGAGTTGAAGAGGAGCACCCAGTCTCCGTGGAGCAGCGAGAGAGCTTTACTGCGCAGCTCGCTCGCCGAGCAGAAGAAGCTGCGATACGACAAACGCTCAGACTGCTCCTCCTGCAGACAGAAACATGAGATGATGAAATGCATTTAAAAAACAGTGCTGGAAGAGTTTAAGAAGATGGAAGGACCGAGTGTTCCTCTGCTGGTTCCTTGAAAGAGATGAGACTGTTAAAGGAAGTCAGGACCCGCTCGCTCTGCTCTGCGTCTGACTGGGCCTGAAATGGAGGATCAGGTGACTCAGGAGGAACGATGATTGAGTTAAAGTTAAACACAAGGAGCCAATCCAAGGCTGAGGAGGACCAGAGAGTCTGACTCACGGTTCTTAGGACCATAATAAATCTAGTCTGTTCCAAGAGTGGAGCTCCTGTAAGGAAACAGGAAATGTCTCCGTCATTCATTTACTTTATGCAATCAAACCAGAACAGATTTAATTTTCTGTGTAAGAAACATTTATATTTTCAGAAACAGCTCTTCTGACATCGTGACTGGATTCACTGGATTCAGTCTGCTGCATGTTTGATGTATATTTTCCAGAGAATGATCACATCTTGTAAAGGGTGACCACCTAATCATCAATCAACAGGGACAAGGTCTGACTCCCGGCACACCTCAAGTGTCACCAATAGACCAGTAACCATGGAAACGTTCTTCTTATGCCATAAACTCTCAGATATTGGTTTCTCAGATCAAACTGTTGGTTGGTTTTCAAACTATCTCTCAGGTCGGAGGCAATGTGTTCAACACAATGGTACTCAACAGTCCCTAATGGCGTGCCACAAGGCTCAGTCTTAGGACACGCTCTTTTTACAATTTCTATAAGTAATGTAGGTCAAAACATTCCTGATGCCTCCTTGCATCTTTATGCTGAATTGTTTATTGTTGAGCTAACGTAGCTGCCAAGGTTTTCCAGCTTCTAGAGTCTGTATTTGACATCACCCAGTCAGAGTTGTTCCATCTCAAACTGGTGCTAAATGGTGATAAAACCAAAGGGATGCCGTTTTCAAACAGGAAGTTGGTGCCAGAAGTTCTTCCTGCCATCTCATCCATGCTTGGTGTTCCTATTCCTACAAATACTTGGGAATTGTAATTGATGCACATCTCCACATGCTTGATAAAGAAACTGAAATTAAAACTGGGTTTCTTTTTCAGAAATATATCCCGTCTAACTCTGAATGCCAGGAAACACCTTGTAGCTGCTACTTTCCTACCAACCACTGATTATGGTGACATTATTTACATTAATGGTCCTGCCAGCTGCTTGCAGATGTTGGATGCTGTCTACCATGGCGTGCTAAGGTTCATAACTGGTTGTAACTACCGTACCCATCACTACACTCTGTGCTCACTGGTCAGCTGGTCGTCATTAGGCTCACAGCAGTACATCATCTATAAATCACTCCTCGGTCTGTTGTCTTCATACATCTCCTCCCACATGTCACGTCGTCAGTGCAGTTACAGCGTGCGCGCTCAGGACATCATTACCTGCAGTGTCCCCTCAGTGTGAACTGAACTTGGCAAAAAGGCCTTTTTTTAAACTCTGCTCCCGTTTCCTGGAACACCTTGCAACAAGATCTGAAGCTGTCCACTTTGATTTCTTTAAGGGATTTTAAACATTTGATAAGGCCATTTGTCTTATATGGCGCCTTGATTTGATTGTTATTATAACTACTTTTTATTTTAATTGCTTTTTATTGTTTTATTGGTTCTCATCGTTTGATTATTAGGCAGTACAAAGAAGATTCGTTCGCCAATGACATGTCACTAGATCCCATTTCCTTCTTGGTACTTGGTTTGTTTGCCTGCTCCATGTGCACTCCTGTTTGGGATTACTAGTTATTTTTCTGCTACCATGACAACGGCTTTCAAAAAGTTTTTGGTTTACTCTGTTCATGCTTCAGTCTGATTTTTAGGCCTTCATCTACACATCAAATATGACATTTACATTTTTTTCTTACAGGGTGCACTTTGTCCTCTTTATATAAGTCTATTTACCTGAAGAGTCCCGTTCAGCTCCTTCTCTGGATCCCAAAGCATCTTGGGAAATTTGGTTGCCTAGAATAGAGACGAAAGATGTAAAAAAATAAAAATCACTGATAGTCATAGATCGCGTTTCAGCCTAAGATGTATTTATCTTTGTTTATTCATGTCCCACCTCATCCATCAGGCCAATCTCATCTCCATAATTAAAGACTGGTGTTCCAGGCAGAGTCAGCAGCAGCAGCTGATGGAGTTTGACCTGAGCCCGGCTCACTAATGAGGCCAGATGACCTTCAGCCCGACCCCCCAGACTCCAGGCCAGCTTGGTCTGGCTGTGGGAGGAATACAAGTCCTGTATGGCCTCAGCGTAATTGGTGGTATAATTTTTCCCATACGTGAGGACATTGGAGATCAGCAGATCGACTCCAGTGTAGGAGAGAAGATCAGACACATTTTGGGCTGAGGAGCTTTTAGTGACACCAATCAGGACCCTGAAAAATACACAAATTCAAACATGTAAACACTGGTTCTGTTTGCAATGATTTGTAATTCTTTCTGAATCACAGACTAACACACAGACTGAACCAAAGACTGACCCATCGACCAATTTACATACAGAACCAAATTGATCTATAGACCGAATCAGAGACTAACCCACAGACTGACCTACAGACTGACCCTAAAACTGACCCACAGACTGACCCATAGACTGACCCTAAAACTGACCCA